CCCAAAAGAGCTTGCGTTTGTCTTAGCGCCGATTCTATTTCTATTCTCTTCCTAATATTTTATGTCAACCAGAAATGATTTTATAGGGTATTTATTTCAGACCAAAAATTTTGCATTCTTCCTCCTGCTGAACGCACAGTGTGGTTTTGGTCTGATCTTTTCAGGCACATGAATAACTATCCCATTTCATGCTGTCATTGCAATTATTTATCTGGACTGGGGCTTTCCAAATAACAGGCTCATTATTTCTTTTGTCAGAGATGCACTGAAAAACAACTGTTCACATGTGGCAGGCATGGTGGGGAAACAGTCTTCCAACCTCTCTGTTACTTAATGGCAGAATACACGCTTTTAAAAAAATTAAACCACAGACAGAGACAGTGCAATGCTGCGCTGCTTCGTAACGCAGAAACTGAGGCAAGCTGTCTGGTGCAGTCAGGTATTACTGACACACACAAGAGTTTAAGCAGCTGGTTTTGACTGGACTTTTAGTTCAGCATCTCAGTTACATGTCATTCCACTCTTCTCCACAACAGCATTACCAGCCCAGTTCTGAGACTTTGAAATTAAAAACAACAACAAAAAAAAACCCCAAGAGCCTTCACATCCTTCCGTACAATAACCTTCAACTCTTTATCTGTATTTCTGGCTTCAAATCCACCAGCTCAGCTGTTTTTTCAAGAAGTATACTGATGGCACGTACTACTAAACCCCAAATTAATGCTACGTCTGGATCCATGCCATCTGCAGATGCAAGAGCTGTAACTGTGAAGTAAAATGGATCAAAAGCCTTGAATTAAGTCCTTGTTTAACGCAGAGGTAATCTGTGCTATTAAGCCCAACCAAAACAGTCCTTAGCCAGAAGACACGGGGGGGGTGTCTACACTGTGTCTTTAATGACCCTGACACAATGTCCTCAACTTTGGTCTCCAGACTCTCTGGGTCACACAAAGGCCAATACAATCCCATACGTTCATCGTCACGTAGGACTGCAAGAGGAAATGCTGCCAGCGGCCACCTCTTAATCGTATCAGGACTTTACTGTGCCAGCGGTTTAAACCAACCTCCTTGACTTGACTTTGGGATAGGCTGGTAGAGAGGTGGTCGCACATCTGGGGCTGGTCTTTGGAGGACAGAGAAGACTACTGCCTGAGACTAAAGCAGAGTCTACTACCTCCCAGCCAAAGTGTTTGAGTCGTCTTGTGGCCTGACAGACCTTGACAGCAACCACATGATCACGACTGATATGCTGAAGTCCAGGGTTCAGGCCGTGTTTGCAGCGTAAGCCTGGGACCCTGGACAAAAGGGCACTGAAGAAGCTTGTCTTACCATGTTTTCTTCCTTTAAGAGTGGCAATTCTTGTCCCCAAACAGTGGGATGGGACAAGGATGATGGTTTGATTATCCAGCTCCCTCAACTTTTCTGCTGATACGCAAAGCTTAGTAAAGAGCGTTAGGAAGAAAAAGCCTCTGCCCTGGGATGTGTGACACGTAGCTCTGACGTGCAATGCGTATCTGAGAGTAGAGCAGTAGAGGTATGAAACCCGCACGAGACCAGATGGAGCAGCAGTTCCTGGCTCAGGGCACGGACCTCCCTACCCCAGGAGCTCAGCAGCTCGGTCTGCCGCACGTTCCTTCCACGGCAGCCCACAGAGCGTTGCTGGAGGTTTGCAGAGACCCGGTTTCTAACACAGTCTTTTGGAACCACTACTTCCATTTAAAGAAGCAATTTCAGTTTCTTGCTTTTCCCTTTGTCCTCAACCGCTCTCATTCCCCGAGGAGGTTTGCAGAATCAGTGATGGGTTGGGCCATGGTCTGCATGAAAAGGGTTACGTATGGGGGGAAGAAAAAGCAAAAATACAACCCTGCTACCAACAAGCCCCTCCAGCCCTTCCTAACCCCTGTCATTGCACAAGGTGGGATACGCACCACAGGCAAACGTCTTCCAAACTGCTACAAAAGACCTTCCTGGTCTCAGAGCCACATGAATTAGCACACACTGGCACCACCTGCTCTGTAATTCAATGCCCTGGAGGGAAGCAATATGTACCGCATGCCGAAGGTGCTTTTAATAAGAATGGTTATTAAAGAAAGCAGGGGACACAGATGTTTGCCACTCAGAACGGCACTGAGATAGCTGGTGCAGAAAGTAGAACAGAGCAAGCTCTGACGGAGGGGCTTGGTGACACTTTGCAAGCGGAGGTTTTCAGTTCCAGCTCCCACTCTCACCTTCAACCACCAAATTATGCTCAGCTTCTACCAGAGGCAGCTGCAGCGCTTTGTGGCTTTCAGGGCAGTGTTTTTCACAAAACAGGAATTCAAAATAAGGAAGGAAGTTTATTCTGATGCCAGTTTTTTTAATCTTTTAATCACATGTTCCGAAGCTGTTCGCATTGATAGTAGCTCTTCTCCCTCCAGCAAAATGTAGAAGGAGATGGGGCGTGGACCAGGAGGGAAGAGATGTAGCAATAGGAAGGAATAATATTTAGCAGCTCTTCCCATCCCTTCCTACTCTTTTTTACTGCGTGTATTTCAGTAGAAATACTTCAACTAGTTCTACTTCATAGTAACATTTGGCACCTTTCTTCCAGATGGGAAGGAAAGCTCTAACTTCACTGCTGGCACCAGCCTTGTTTTCTGACTACGTCTAGTGGTCCAGGCGAAGGGTTGCTGCGCAGATGGAGGCACCGAAACTTGCGTCTCTTGCTTCTCCAACTGCCACACCGTAATTCATGGGTGGAGGAAGATCCTTTCCAGCACTTAGCCGAGCACCCTGTACCTGAATTTGCCTCCAGCAGCTGTGCTCAGAGGTGGGTTTGAGGATCACCTCCTGCCCGTGGTGTGCCAAGGAGCGGCCCACACCAGGAGCACCCAAAGGAAGAGGGAGAGAAGGAAGAGGGAAAGGGAGCAGTGGAGGGATTTAGCTCCACAATAAAGGCTAACAATAGGCCACAGTCTGTCCCACAGAGGCCCTTTATTTAACTCTTCCCTTGCCTTGCTTATGCCTAAAATACGCAAAAATTCCTTTTTGCCGTAAAAATGCTTCAGTATTTGGGCCAGCTTGGCACTTTGCTGGTATAAAACAAGGCTTCCTTAAACTCTGTCTGTTTTAATACCCTGTTTATAAATAAGGGTTTGGCACATGCAAACGATGGCAAGAAAACAAAACTGGCCATATTCCAAAGCGCAATATGTGCCTCCATTAGTTGTTACACGCATCCTACCCAGCCCAACCGGTGACTGCTCTCTGCCAAAGCCCCTCTGCCTGCTCAGCCACCCGATAAAAGTATTCCCTTCGCTACAGAAGGGAAGATAGGAACTGTTCTTGAGAGGGTGCCACTCCAGACAAAACATCAAAAACTAGTTCAGATAAAATAAGAGATGGACTCCTTCAAAACAAGGAGACAAAATAAAGGGGGAAGGTTTCTCTCTAAGCCTCACATGTCTGGAGACGCTCAGTTATCTTGGCCACAAGAGGAGGCAGAGAACATTGCACTCGGATACTGAAGCTGTTGACCTCCCAAGAAAACTCCTAACCCTTTAGAGACCGTTGGCCTGAACTTCAGAAGTGCTGAGCCCTGGGTTTCCCCGTATGCCAGGGAATTACTTTTTTCCTTATGTTGCCCATTAAGAAGAGTTGGG